CGTAACTTTGAAGCTTAAGTAACGTTCAAAACAGACACTTACCCTTTGCTTGGATAGTACCTTCGTCCTAAATGTATGGATGCAGATCTATAGTAACCACGCGCTTACAACATACAACAACGAAATGGGACGATCTTGTTACAGAAGCGCTGTTCGCTGATAGCCGCGTACATAAACAGGAGTGCGTGTTGAGCTCTGTATGGCCTTGGCGCAATATTCGATATCAAAACAACGTTAACAACCTGGCGGAAACCCAAAGTTTTGGCGACCACAGGATATCGAATCACCCCGCAAAGCTCGATGGTCCATAGTGCGGCGCCTAGGCGGCTTATCCAAAAGTTCATGAGCAAAAAACAGAGATGGGCGTTACTGTCGTGGGCAATCGAGAGGTGTAGACCGAAACCAATAAACAGTCCAAGAAATTCTAAGACAGAGGAGAATGATAATATCAGAGAATGGCACAGACATGACACTAAGTCTACGTGAAACATTAAGAAGTAAGGAAACCCAAGAAGGGTGGAGAACACCTGTTGTCAGATTTTCTGTGGTGAGATGGATAACAAAAGATACCTGAAACAAACAAACAAACAAACAAACAAACACAATAAACATCTCTTGAATCAGACAGAGTCAGCCTTACCACTACTCTCCAAGCAGAAGTTTGGGTTTTGGGTTGTTTTTGGTGTGTTTTTAGTATTTTTACCGGGCTTTCTGTTGCACTGGTATCTTTTTTACGCCAGTGGTATCTTTTTTGAGGGTTGCCGTCAAAAATATATCAGTGCAAAATAGAAACCCAGATTAAAAAAAAACCTAAAAGCACACCAAAATAACCCAAAACCCAAACTTCTGCTTGGAGAGTAGCTTACCACCTTGAGTGTTCTCCCACCGCGGTCCCACTAGCAGACCCGCCGCCGCCTTCTGTGCGCTTCTCCGCGTAAGACCGGCTCATGTCGACTCTGTTGGACGGCCTCAGACGCCGCATCATCGTGATACGATCAATATCAACAGAGGAGCGTCCGAAAAAAAAACTACAGATTACAACTACAGACAGGTCGATCTGAGAGGTGCGTGGGTAGTCTGACTGGCCACGACGTGATCAATATGAACAGAGGAGCGTCCGAAAAAAAACTACAGCTTACAACTCTCCACACAAACAGGTCGATCCTGACTACACTAGACAGGAGGGTCGATGTAATCTCCACGAAGGTCTTTTGGTAGCTACAATATCAAATTCTCCGTACGCCACCGTTTAGCCGACTAAAAAAGAGATACCAATCAATAGTAAAAGATATTGGTAAAACAAAAAGAAAGCCCAATAAAATGTGTAAAGAGCCGTCAAAAAGAAATACAAAGAAATACGATTTGTAAAAATACGTCAAAAATCAGCCTAAGCCTAAACCTCTGCTTGGCGAGTAGGATCGATGCACACTCGCGTTAAGACACCGAAAGGCCTTTATACCACTCTTAAGGCTTACTCAAATCGAAGTTTTGTTTCACGTTAACACTTACAGGCAAGCTGGATTCAGTGCAGCCTGCGTTAATGCATCTCACCGCAAGGGCTTCTGCTTAAATTTTGGTCAGTACTAGTACCGACGAGCAAGTTGAGGTTGACATCTTTACTGGTAAATAAACATAATTCAGAGGATCGCCATAATGTGACTTCTGCAAGTTCTGCTCGAATAATTGAGTTGACGTTGATTGAAAATTCAATTTGAATTTACAAAGAACGCGATACTGAACATTGCTTTAGGCGCGCCTGGGAATGAAGAGTCTGGAAACAGGTGCATCAGCAAATGACCCCCAAAGTACTGATCATCCTGCAATTAAAATTCATCCCGCCAAATCGTCGTATCCAAGGTAACAAACATGTGGTCCAAAAAGCTGCATACGTGGACGAACAGCTACGACATTGACAGTAGTTACGTTTACCTTCGAAAAAGGAAAGAATAAAACATGTTGTTTTTGTTCTGTTTCTTCTTCTTCTTCTTTTCCAAACACATAAGGTCGATGGCTTAGACAAGACGGCTGTCACCATGGTAACTGGTGCTGTAGCAAATACCCTGTGGTGTTGGGTTACATTATGTAGCAAGCAGCAGGACAGAATCTTCCTGAGGTTTCTGACCCAATTGCTATTATCACTGCGTGGCTTTTCTCATATGTGACGTCAGCAATGTGTCAAAGTAGATCGGAAGTCAGTATCGCCCCCCGTCACGTTTCTCAAGATTTACGTTACGACCTCAGATGAACTTTCATGCCAATATGATATACATCATGTTAAAGTTCCGCTCAATGAACGAGTCGTCCACAGACCTTCGTCGTGTACGCGGAACCCTTGATTTGATACATATTATATGATTTAGTTATAATGCGGCTTACCTTAGTCTACCTTATTACTCTTATGCTTTGCATGTCTGTATTTGTGACTACATGTATATATTTTTGTAACGATGACGACACAAACATAAGCATTGTAGCTTGAGTATGTCGTCATCCTGTCTTGTTACTAAATGTTATAATAAATAAATAAAAAAAACCCTTGATGTACTAGTATCAACAACCCATCAATGTCCAAATCACATACCACCCACTGTAGCAGACAGCATTAGCCCTGATACGTACATTGAATTGTAACCCATACATTGTTATCGATAGTTATTTGTAGTAACAACTGTAAGATAATTTAGTTTTGTAACATTGTAGTTTTATTGCTAGACATGGTACCATGTACGGTTGTCGAGCACTAACGTTCAATGGACTAACTGTATCGGGCAGAGATCTAGATTCCTTTATTATTCCTTTATTACGATACCCTTTAGCCAAAACTGGCTAGTCTTCCAGGGTTCATACAAAGATCATACAATACAAACAACAGATGACATAAAAAAATACACATATGACATAAAGAGGAAATTTACATTATTACATTATGTACAAATGAAAGATACCTAATTCACACTCTAATCACAGGACTCATATTGTGTGAACAGTTGGCGGATGGCTTTTTTAAAGTTAGATGTGCTTGACAGTGATTTGATGTGTTGTGGTAGTTTGTTCCAAAGGTTTTAGCCCTGATAACCTGCAGCAGGCAGATGCACAATCCTCCCGGCATTAGCCCTGATAACGCGAGAGTACATAACCCTTCCCCGGAAGGTTCCAAATCACCACAGGAAAGCCCAGAGCCTCTGCTAATAGCGCACCATTAGAACGTTTGGATCTATGTAAGCGGCGTGTCCAATGCAGTTGGGTGGTTGTAGATTGTGTCGGAATATGTCAAACTAGAAGTAGAACGCTAGCTAACCATCTAATCATGTGTATCCCAGAAAATACACGTTTTCTGTTACATTTTCTCAATGTAGCATGAAAGTGTTTTCTGAATGTGTTATACAGATATAATTATCAATCTCTACAGCACTTTAACACGACAAAACTAAATCAAAACCGGACGTTCTGCTGCAGTACCAAGGAAAGCCGCCAGAGGGCCCAGAATCTAATCATTTCTTTGATAAGTCAACCCACCTACCAAATTTCATGCCAATTCATTTATGGCTTCTTAAGTTATCGTATTGAACTACAAACATATTTAGTTACATAGTCATAGTACACACAAAAGTCATAGCGCTACATATGAAACACAAGGTTTTAACGTGAAGCAGTGTTATGTTTTAGCCGCGCCAGTACATGTGCATTTGTGTATCGTGATCAGCACCGAGAATCCTCCACCGGATGATCCCATTATATCCTCCATTTAAAAACACGCCGGGTCGGCTCAAGGTCGTTTGGAGCGTGGCTGTCACAACATCTACCGCACGGGGTTAGCGATGTGCAGTATCGTATTGAGAACCGTGCCTGAGCATGGTTCTGGATAAAGCAAGGATACAACAGCAGTGTGCGTATTTGATCTGTGGATGGAAGGCTTCCAGTGTCTCTTTTCCTCTAAGGTTTGAAATGTAGCACCTTGGAACCCCTATCCATACTCATATCAGTATATAACTGGGCCTAGCGTGCTGTGGGTCTGGCATCCAGGTTTTCGTATCAATGGGTCCACTTAATAAATGGCAGCCTTTATACGGCTGAATTGGTGCAGGGTATTACATAATAATCAATACAAATCACAACAATTACAACAATCAGATAATACAAATAATATGTTGTGATATGTTCCACAATCATTTTTGTGGAACTGCCGCAAGGGTCTGTGCGGCTGCCATTCGGCGCCACAAGGTGACCTCAATACGACTTTCCCCAACCGAAGTTAGGTACCAATTCACACCTGGGTGGAGTGAGGAAATTCGTGTAAACTGCCTTTCCCAAGGGCACAACGTCGGGGCGCATGTTCAGACGTGTCCCGGGTACGACTCGGAATCGAACCCGGGTCTCCCGGTTGACAGTCGATTGCTCTAACCACTACACCACACGACGCCACTTTTCTCTGCGTGTGCGCGTGAACGTTATACAGTAGAATTAGAGCATAGTGTTTCTAGGAATACGTACATGCCATCGATTATCTTTATTTCAAAGAAGTATTAGGTGCTAAGTATAAACGTTAAGCAGGGTGATCGATTGAGTATTTTCAATTAAATGTTATTTGGGTTCTCTCAGTGTTTTCGCTGGGATGCCTTTTCGTGATACAGTTGTGGGTTCGTGACATGTACAGAATGGCGTGCATACCATCCTGCACAGAAATGATGCAAAGGCATGCTTGTTCAATTTACCGGCGGTATAATTGCATGTATACAGGACGCAGTACTACATGTAACATAATACTACATGTACCTAACAATTACACACGCATGAACTACTCGTTGTTGTAGTACTGAAGACCGCTCAAGAACATAGAGTGGGATTTTTATAAGCCATGTTCCGTACTTCTACAATATCGTACATACGGCGAAGAGAATTATCCTCCACCATGCAGGCCTTCCTAAGGGGCTATATAGTAAGATGCGGCAAATAGTAGCCTCTTTCCTAAGGAGTTATGTATAGCAAAATTCGGCAACATATGGTCAGTTATTGGCCAGGTAACAATTCCCAAATCTGCACGAGCAAATGAACTGTATGGTGGCCAAATTCAGCTATACCATGGCAAATTATTCCCCTTCAGCTCACGTTGTCAGTCCGCTGGAGACCAGAAGAGCACTTCGATCTGTGCTGGACTGTCCCAAACACCTGTTACTCACTCACGTGACGTCATCGGGACTGTTCCAAACATTTTCGCGGGGGTGGTCTGCCTTAATTCCCTCCCGTCGCATAGATTTTAAGAATCTATCCAAAAATTGTTCGGTAATTCTTACCTTGGCAGCTCATTACCTGGATGTCTAATCTTCATCGACGTTCTACTGTATCGGGGAACGTTGCCCTGACCATCCCTTGAGGATGCGTACGCACGGTGTACGTACGTTATACGCACACACAGTAATACATACACCATTACCGCAATGCATTAAGACATTTCCGATCGTATCAGTCAAACCCGCACCACGCCCTGTACACGTGCTGTGATATGCAGATTTCAATCATCCAGGTAATTACACTAATGAACAGTAATTTACCTGTTCTGGGAGCAAAGGTTAGGTGCTGTGCTGTGTATGGAGCACAACTGGGTCTTGTAGATAGACATAAGCGATAGACATTAAAGTGTTGTGCAAACGTAGAGCATACACTCTACTCTATCTACGATTGGACGAGGCCATATCAGCCTTTGGGTCAGGTTTGTTTACAAAAGGGTCGTTACAGTATTGGTCTGCTGCCACGCGCCGTGCCGTGTGTGATAAAACAATAAAGAAGGTAAACCTTTGTTGTACATGCAAACATACACACTGGGTTAAGTACAGGTCACAGCAAATGATAGTTAATAGATCGTGTGTGTAAAAAGCGTAAATGGGCCTAGCCAACACAACGAGCTTGGGGTCAGGTTTGTTTACAAAATGGCCTATACTGCCGTAGTACCCATGTAAAAACAATGTTCCCGTCTGAGTACCGACATGACTTTGGGTCGTAAACCCATCCCTGCAACTCACCTCCGTCTATATGCTGTTATGTTCAATGTACATAAAACGCACCACGGCGAGCTTTAGGTCAGGTTTGTTTACAAAACGGTCATTAATATATAATGGCCTGCTGCCACGCGCCATGGATGCGCACATACCACAATAAAACGATCCCTCATATTCCGGTCTGAGTGCCAACAACTTGACTCGGGTTCGTGAACCCGTCCTGTAACGTAACTCACCTCTGTATATTATGTAGATCATAGATAATAGCGGTTTTGGCCAGGGCTAGCTTTGGGTCATGTTTGTTTACACGCAAAATGTCCTATTGCCATGCGCCGTGCTGTATGTTTAACACAATAAAACGACACTACATATTCCGGTTTTAAGTGCCAGCAACTTGATCTGCCATGGGGTCATGAACACCCTGGAGCCCTCTGTAACGTAAAACTCACCTCTCCTGTTTACATCCGGCCTGTATCATGGAGTCGCTGCACCGCTTGCCTACAGACTCGTGCCCGCGGCCGGACCGCGCATTGTGCATGCTCTCGCCGTAGTACCGCCTCTCCTGGAGTCCCTCGCCGGTGGCACCGCTTTCTATCACCGTAGGTAGTACCGTCAGTGGCTGTCTGGTACCGTGGTCCCAGTCCGTGGTACTAACCAACCGTGGTCGCAGAAGCGGCGATATGACGTGACTGACACGGTATTAAAGGGCCTGAGGACGACAGATAGAGTACGGACTTGACCCCTTCCCCTCCTCTCTCACACACCGTAGGTAGTACCGTGGTCCGTGCGTGGTACCGTGGTCCCAGTCCGTGGTACTTACCAACCGTGGTACCAGAGAGCCACAGCAATGAGTGACAGCAATGAGTGACAGGTACCGTGACGAGATAGGAAGGACCGTGGGACACAGATAAGGTACGGACCTGAATCCTTCCCGCCTCCTCTCTCTCACACACACCGTCAGTGGTACTAGTAACCAACCGTGGTCCCGGAGCCTGAGAAACCGCGATGACTGACAGGTAAAAAGGACGATAGCAGAATGAGTGCGGACCTGACCGGAACCTCAGCACAACCACAACCGGCTTCCTCCAACCTGACCCCGCGGTGTGACGTCATCGCCGGCCGACCTGGTTTGAATATGATGATTACCTGTCGCCATGGCAACGGGCCATGAGCGGCAGAATGTCGTCTGCAACCTGCTGTCGTCTGATACATCCGAGGAAATCTGTCATCTGTCAATCAATTATCATTATGTAAACTCATAGGAAATTCAAACTCTACTACTGGATAAATTACGGACTACATAATTTCCGGACATTTCGTGTGGCATCCACCGCTCTTCTTCAGCGTCACTAAAGATCTAACACTGAGAACTCTTTAACAGATATGTATATATATGAGCAACTGGGGAAAAAACGGCTCAACATGACAAAGACTCTATCTAGAAAAAAATCCAGATCATCGATCATTATCGAAAAAATCCATATTTTGTCTGACATGTTTCCTGTGTGATCAATATGATCGCCAACATGACTGTCTCCCCCTGTTTTGGAATTTTATCACTAATAATCAGACGAATCAACTTTTGACAATGTTAAGATCTCATACTTTCGCATGACACAGGCGTCATGTATTCGACATGTTTACGTGCTTATCTCGCATTACACGTATAACGATGAAGCGCAGGGTTCAAGGTCATATATGATATATCCTGTTTACCTGGGGGTAGGTACAGATATACACACATCTCGCTGACTCTGGGATAATATTGGAGAGAGAACTAGAAGTTAAAAGTGACAAACTGCGGAAAAGAACAGTTTAGAGTTCACAAAAAAAAAATTAGCAGTGTAAAATGTTCAATTATCATAGTAAAAACCCAGCTCCGTGTATAAAAAAAAAGTATGGATAGACGCACATTTATAAAAATGTAGATATTGCATACTTTCCAAGGGAACTTTCGGCTTCGTCTTATTTTGCCATGTTTTATATAATTAGGCGTTTCTGTCTGGCCTTCTTTTTTCCGGTGGCTGCCTTGTCAATTTGAAACTGTTTTGCTTGGAGATTAGACGTTGCAATAAAATATGTATTACATCAAACTGAGAGGAACAGTGTAAGATTAAGTAAACATGAAGGACGTTAGAGGTTATCCCCATCTTAAGAAGGCTGTTAGTTACATCACGATCCCTGTGGGGCCTCTACTCCGGAAGTACCAGGTGTAATCTCTCAAACCAGGAGACCTGGGGGACTTATTAGCCCTTATTAGCTTCCCTGTTGGGCTGAAGATGCATCCGGGTCTAAGTGTTTTTACCGGTAAAATCTGTTTCCAGCATTCTTTCACATGTCACGTAACAAAAAGCCTCTACCAGGTTTCGGGTGCGGAAAACTCACGGTACTCTCTACCGGATCAACTAACTTGCCATGTTAACCCTCTCTCTATTTGGCCAATTTGTACTCTTTCCAGCCGCCTCCCGAAGCCTGGTAGAGGCTACCTGACAAATGCATCAATACATTAGCTCATTAAATACATTGTCTCCGCCAGAATAACAACAACTCGGGTTCCAAATACTAAATAGGGAAAATAGTTTAGCAGCAGTACTGCAAGTAGAGTTCATTTGCCCAAGTGGGAAATGAAACTAGCCTCTACCAGGCCATGGGGAGGCGGCTGGAAAGAGTGGAAATCGGCCAAATAGAGAGATAAGCATGCCAAGGAAGGGAGTTTGTCGCGGCGAAATGGCTCTCAACGGATAAACACCCTCAGTGGCATGATTATCTCTCTATTTGGCCAATTTCTACTCTTTCCAACCGCCTCCCCAAGCCTGGTAGAGGCTAAAATTAAACCCTAACGGTGAACCCACTCCCCTGGCCAGTAGGAATTCTACCATCGCAACACCCTTTACAATGGCCTGGTGGAGGCTATGATAAATACGGTAATCATCTTAGGTCGTTAGCGAGATAATCTTGTTCCGCATAGCACATGCCAACCCGGTGAAGTAAGCCATCTGTCGTCTGGAAGTCTATAATGCTACTAAGTATACTAACGTTACTATTTAGAGAGATAAGTTATTTGAAATGGTCAGCAAAATGTTCCCCAGCTTTATTCACCTTCCCAGCCTACAAAAAACTGCATTTCTATTAACACCTCCCAATTCATATATCTTGCAAAATGTCGGCCATTTCATACTCCACTGCACACGGAAAAGAAATCAAACCCAACAATTTAGTTCAGTTCAGTTTATTGAGATACTGCCCTTTAGCCCATTATGGGCTATTCTTCCAGGGTTCCAATACAAATACATGTAACATCACATTTACAGACACAATCCTACATATTTACACTTAACTTACAACATATTTACACTTAACATACAGCATAAATCATTTAAAAACAGAGGGGATTACACGTCGCATAAAAAACCTTAACTATTTACAAGGCAATCATTAAAAAAAACATATGAATTCTACCTTGAAGATAACTGTCTGACTTTTATGAATTGCACCACCCTGTTGGTAAAGTATTTGACATGGGAGATGGTTAACAATAATTACAAATGTACATCTGAAGTAGCATTAGCATTACTTATTTTCATTTTTTACTGTTTATTGTTGTTATCATGTTCTTGCAATTATGGATCAATCATGGATTTGCAATAAACTAAACTAAACTAAACTAAACTAAACTAAACTAAACTAAACTAAACTAAACTAAACTAAACTAAACTAAACTAAACTAAACTAAACTAAACTAAACTAAACTAAACTATTCCCATTGAAATAGTCTCATACTAGTTCTGTTTTGTTTTTCTGGGTCGGAAATATTGTTTTGAGCAGCTGGTGGTGTGTTTCTCGTCTTGGCATGACTTGACAGAAATCATGCTTGAACATGATCAGATGATATGAACTGCGCACGAACTCATGCTGCTTGCAATACAGCAAGTGGCCTGGTGGTGGCGCTGTTTGTATCGATGACGTCATGTCAACAGGTTTCAAGAACCGCAGCAAAACGACAATAAACCAAGCATTTATACAACGATACTTCGTTACTCTAGATCTATCATTGATAATATAAGTGCAATATTACATATTCAGAACATAAATAGGTAATCATAAAATAGAGTAAGATCTTCGGAAGATTGCCATGTTGTCATGAATAAAAAACAACAGATTTTATTATTTGCGCTCCCCTGTCGTCATAGGGGATTCCCCAGACTTGGAAATCCCCACGAAAATGTTACTATATAAGACCTGGACTTTTTCTTGCGTATATCCTTGATCTGGTCTCTAAGAACGATGTTGTGATATTGAGGACTCTCGTTGCGATCTACAGAAGTCCAAGACATTGAGTATTTGCCGAACGTTTTCCAGTATTTTCTAGCAGCACAGTTCCAACGAAAAACTTTTACGTCGTACAGTTTCACTGGTTTCACTTCCGGATTCAATTTTTGCCCCCAGAAAAAGATGTTTTCTGACAGCAAGCTTTGATTTCTGGTGAATACAACATCGGAAAACTTTACTGGGCAAACTAGGTAAGTAAAACTATGGTTTCATATTCTTATATTTGCTTAAAACTAGCGATGTTCAACTGGACTTTGAGTCGTGGGGTGGGGGGCATATGGCATGAAACTATGACGCAGATCTTTATGACTATGACTAATTTTTCCATCTAACAATTTCTTCATGATAATTTTTAATATCAGAAAGAATTAGGTTGGTATTCACGTTTAAATCCCATGGCTTTGGATAGTCTATACTTGAATGTAAACTCGCAAATACACTAATTTTAAAGGACATTTGTATCACACTAAAAAACCAAAGGGCATTTCCCACACAAGTCACGCGAGCGAAATCGATTGGGGAATTTTCCTACCCCTTATAATTTTTCAGCGGATACAGAAACACAGAATGGGAAGTGAAAAGAAACATAAAGTATGGTAAAAGTTGTTAGAGAAAATGTGTAGAATTGGTGGATGTACCAAACAACTGAGTATCTAATCAATCATCTTATTATCAGTATTTGAGTATGCAGTACCTGCTTAGAAAAGAACAAGAAAATTTATCGTCTTTTGCTTTCAAGTACCAGACTTATGAACCCCTAGGATTGAGAGAGAACTGCTTCTTTCCTAGAACTATCGCAGAGTGGAACTCGCTGTCACCAAGTACAGGAGGCGCATCATCACTAAAAAGCTTCAAACATGTTTAGGATTTGATCTACATCTACATCTACATGATACGGGACAAAGTGCCTCACGGCACATCGCGTCCCGGGAAGGAGGTGCAGCTGGTGTGGCAGGTGGTGGTGCGCAACAAAAATATACAAACAAATGAAAAATGATATATAAATAATAAATTGCAAAATGAAAGAACCAAACTGTGCAACTATATACAAAAGCCACACCAGAAAACAAAAATGACTCTACAGCTGGGTATTGGCTGGAAGGCCAAGGTGACTGGCCAAACCAGCCTTAAACATATCAAAGGATGTGCAAGATATGAGTGTACCTGGTAGTGTGTTCCACTCGATAACGGTTCGAGGGAAATAACTGGCTCTGTATGCCTCTGTCTTGCATGGGATGGTGATGAAGCGTGAGTGATGTCCTCTTGTAATGTTGATGTTTTACACACACACTGACACATACAGATTTTCTTTTTTTCCCCGTACCATTCCACAGTGGAACTCCTTACCCGGCCCGGTAGTTATGGCTCCCAATGTTGAGTCGTTCCAGGCATGCCCGCCTTAGCCTTGACCTCCTCCCCCCCCCCTAACGGCACCCCTCACGGGGTTATCTGGGGGTAATGAAGATTATGATGATGATGATGTTCAAAGGTTAGGAGTTGTTCGGTGCTGCTGCACCACATGCATATGCCTGCAGTGCTGGGCTATACAGATACATAAGCTTGTGGCTATACAGAAAGTCACAAAAAAACAAAATTCTTCTTGGATTTAGTCTTACTTAGTAAATCTCTGATTTTTTTATTGTCTCCGTACTTCTGTTACAGCCACCATGTCAGGAACTCCGTCCCCCAAAGGCTCCCTCGCCACGTCCCAGCGGTCGGCAGGAAGCGGTCAGTCATCCTCGTCGGACTTCGAGATCCTGTCCCGACCCCCCTCCTACCAGAACGGCACCGAGACCCCCCACGGAGGAGAGGTGGGGGTCCCCTCGGAGTTCTCACTGAATGCTGCAGAGATGCAGTCTTACATGACGGAGCTGCTGAAGGATAACAACAGTCTCAGAGGTGGGTGAATAATTTCATCAGGTTGGCAAGAGACTGTATCAGAAGGTTCATTATACACATCCGACATGTGGGTGATTGCGCTTGAAATGCAGTATGTATATGATGAAGGCGGTTGTCTTAATTGAAAGCTTCGGAAGTCTGCTTTGGACTGCAGACACAAATAGAAGGATTAGTCCTCCAATCACAACACTTGAGAAACTCATCTATTATTATTAGAAACTTGGAAGGACATGAACTTCCCTCAGCAATGAAAGACAGTTCTGGAAACTTGGATAGCTACACCTCTTTATTTATTATTATTTTAAACTAATGATGATGATTATAGATTATGTCACAATGTTCCCCCAGACACAATCAGACAGAACAATGAGGACATGAGGCAGAAGATTAAGGACCTGGAGGTGTGGAAGGACAGACAGAAGCAGAACCAGACGCTGATCGTCGGGAAGTTCACGGAGGCCAGGGAGAAGGTCATGACCTTGAGGAAGGAGAACTCCAGACTGAAGGACGAGGTGGCGAAACTACAGAAGACTGGAGATGGGGAGGTCACACAGGGACAGGTGAGTTTGTAGGGACTGTGGAATTGGATAACTAGTGTGATAACTAGTGTAACTAATATGCAACAGATCTTTCTGGGTAGCTAACATTTTAGGTCAGAAATAAGCATATAATAAGTGTGAAATAATTTAGGTACAGTATCAGTACTTAGGGAATAGCTATTTTGGACCTGCACCTAGTCAGTTTTTCTGGTACAGAACCAGTACACACATACCAGTACACTGCTCCAATATGATAAAATTAATGTAGTACACAATGTAACATGTATGGTAGGGAAGTTCTACTAAAATCTGCAGCAAGTATAAGCAGTTGGTGAGTTGCTTGTTGGTTTACTCTCATGGACATCTTTATTTCCACCCCAGGGAGAAGCCGGCCTGTCAGAAGTAGTTTCCAAGTTGAAAGAAGAGAAGACCCAGCTGGAGACAGACAAGGAGAAGCTGACCAGGACGATACAGATGCTGACTGGGGAGATCGGGAAACTGCAGTTCAAACTGGAGGAGAAGCAAACAGACAAGGAGGTACGGACTAGACTTTGGGAATTTCTGTCTTGTATTCTGGTAGTCTTCATACCAAAAAAAGTTTCATTTCATAGCCTGGGTGCCAGGGCCAGTAAGCTAGCTCCTTATATCTATGGCTAACTTAACTTGATTGGCTAATGTGCTGGCTCTGACAGGCCAGTCATTTCATAATCTTTATTTACAAACAGAGATTTTGAGTTTGAAAATACTGTCCAACCCTATGCAGGTGAAGGTTCAGAGTCCACCGTCCCAGGGGTCAGACCCGAGTGCAGCAGTTACATCATCTGAACAGGACAACCAGGTAAGGCCTGAGGAAAAAGGTTTACACATTAGCAAAAACCTGCTGACACTAGCCTATATTTTGGGTTAGGCTTATCATAATCTTTTTTGTTCAAAGACAAAACAGCATCTGACTGAATGGAACACCAGTATTATTGTACAACCTTCATGCAGACAATGTGTTTTAGAAAAAAGTCACTCTGGAACTGTTCCTACATGTAGAGTCACAAGTAGTTGCCATACAATCCCTGCTGCACGATGTGAAACATTCTATTTTCTGCTCTTCCAGTCGAGACTTGAGGCTGAAGTTGCTCAGCTGAAGTCTGAGATGAAGAATCTGAAGCAGGCGAACGAGAGACTCCAGCTGGAGAAGGCAGACCTGGTGGCCATGAACAATGAGATGCAGGTAATCAATGAATGAATTAGTGGTTTCTGTTAGATATGTGGTTTCCTGCCACACTTGTGCGCATGCGCACTGGTCCCCTGGCCTGAGGGATCACTCTGTAATACGTGTGGAGTCAATACATTTAGTTGTGTGTGCTGTACAGAGGTTTGTCCGTCATCTTATATGTGTGATTCCTGGTAACAGGAATGCAGCCAGTTAACAAATGGTAGCAGAGGGTTTCTAAGTTTTTAAGGCAAAGGAGACATCATTAAATCAGAGGGCTGCTGATGTAGGGAAACTTGAGTAAGACTGTATTCAATGCATAAAACTGAGTGCACCAGGGCTGTAAACTTAGTCCTGGCTTTGTTTTCCTTCAATATCTTTTCCATTTTCCAAGTTAACTATACTTCTTAAGAATTTGAGAACAAATCAAATTTGTGCGGTCTGTAGAGGACCAAAAGTGCTAAGACAATTTTTTCGTTTCCCCCAAATAGGCCAGCCTGGAGCTGTACAAGGCTGGTACGCCCCCCTCCCCCCAAACGACCCCCACAGGTTCCTTTGTGAAGGTCGAGGCAGAGGTGAAACAGCCGCCACAGATGCAGGCAGGAGCAGAGGCAGCAGAAGGTACTTTCATATTAGGTACTGTTCATTTGCTGTTCATTCACATGCACATACACATATCAACCACCTGCATGCGGATCATTTTAACTTCAATGTTGTTCTGTGTTCACTTGGTAGAAGTCAATTCTAAAAACACAAAATAGTGGGTACGTCGGTGAAGGTATAGACATCCAGGTAATAAGATATGCCAAAAAAACTGTGCTACCTGAAACGTCTGACCATTTCCAAAATCATATCCAGTTGCATGCTTGATGTTTTTTTGCACAAAATACATGTAGGGGACTTACATGTACCCTAAAGCTTACCAAATTGCTTCACGTGCACGTTTTGGGGATGGGGATGGCTCTATGTTACGACGCATCTATGTTACGACGCATCTACTATGAGATAAAATAGCTAATAATGATAATTGACTTCTCCAGATGACCGTACAGTGAGTATTGAGGAGAGCCTCTCAGAGACTCTCCATCCAGAGGAACAGAGAGTGAGATATGAGGAAACCATCGCTCAGTTCACGGTCATTTCAATACCAGAGAAATTTAATTATGTTCCTCATTAGTAATCTGTAAATTGTGCTCTTCTCCAGATGACCGCACAGTGAGTATTGAGGAGAGACTGTCAGTCCATCCAGAGGAACAGAGAGTGAGATACGAGGACACCATTGCTCAGTTCACAGCAGTCGCACGGCAGATCTCAGAGGCAGAGCATCACAAGAAGAAGACAGAAACAACCGTTCACGACCTGCTTATCCAACTACAGGTACTACAGATCTGCTTGCTAATTTATGACTGTGTTGCTGACTTTAAAATGCCCTTTTTTGTTTGTTTGTTCTTGTTTTACCTACCAAGGATGCTGCTATATGGTTATTGCAACTGGTGTAACTGATGTGAAGAAAAGTAAGTTTACTTGTAGCACATGTAGTCCAGTCACAGGTTAAGCGATCCTGCCTCTGGACCAAGAGGTTGGGAGTTTGAGTCCCAGCTGTTGCTCACCTGACTGACATGCACGCTACTGGACGGGACGTTAAGCTATATACATGTATATGGTCCACTGTCTGTTGTGCTTGTCAAAATAGTGTAAATACTTTACATAGCATCTGTCTTCTCTGTTACAGCCAGTGGAAGATTAGTTGTTCAGTGAGCTAAAGCTGGATCTAGATCACTTTCCTTTCAGCTTTTAACAATGTTTGCTGTTCATCTGTGTTGGTAGTTCCATGTTTAAAGATAAAACTTTAGATTCAACACAATGAAGTTCTCTCACCTAGAGATTTTGACCTTTGACCCAGTGTTGACGTCACACTTCAAAGAAGCCACGTGACAAGCCTCACTGGGTCAGTCTATTGAGGAAGACCAGAGTGACTGGTCGAATGCTCTAGGTGAGAGAACTTCTGTGTGTTGGATCAAAAGTTTTAACTTTTTAACAATGTTTGCAGGAGGAGAGAACGCGCGGGCTGGACATTGCAGGACAGCTGGAGACAGCCAGGAAGGACAGGGAGGAGCTGGAGGTCAAGGTGCACGACCTTGGGGAACAGCTGAGACAGCACAGCGCTGACAAGGACAGCACGGTTGAGCAGATGAAACAGCAGCACCAGAGTGAGGTCAGTGAACTTCTGTTAGTCCTTATCACACATCTACCTTTTTTCTACTTTTGAGACAGAAGTATTATTTTGTTTTCGGTGGCACTACATTTCAGTTTATGCTAGGTTTGTACGTGTGGATTCCAAAGTGGGTGGTTGGGAGATGGGGTTTCACTTAATTTGGTCTGTTGTGTGTAACTGTACTATATGAACTGTTAGAGCTGTGTACCTAAACAAATTTTAGGTACAGGTACAGGTACAGGTACACAGGTTTAGGTACAGGTCCGGACCTGAACCTGTACCTGAACAATTCGACCAATTTATATGCTCTTCTGAACTCCTTCAATAACAAAAAAAAACATAAATAAACTTGATAGTTAAGGTTTATTCTTTGTTTATGGCGAATGCTCAGATAAAATATAGGCTATATATATGTTTTTGTTTTCATGAACACACTGTCCTTACACAGGGACCCATTGTTAACCAGCTATTTACACATTTGAGGTCACAAATAGGCATAAAATTGGTGTGAAATTGTTTAGGTACAGTACCGGTACTGAGGGATTAGGTATTTTGGACCTGTACCTAATCAATTTTACCGGTACAGTATCGGTACTGCGTACCGGTACACAGCTCTATGAACTGTACATGTTATGTATTTGTACCCCAGGGCCCCACTGTAAATAGTGGTCACACTAATGATGAGCAGGGCTACCCAGGACAAAGATGACAGAAAATTAAGATGGATAAAGAATAAGGTGTGATAACCAGCCCTGAATGCCAGGTGGATAACCAAAGGCTGCTGAAACAGAGATGTCTCCTTTAGATTATTTGGTGCCAGAAGGACTAATAAACTATTTTTGTGACCAGGTGGATAACCTGATGCAGCAGCAGAAGTATTGTTTTGGGTAGCAGTATTTATGCTAGGTTTGTATGTTTGCGATAGATGTGATAACCTGTTTTTACCTTCCCAGGTGGATAACCTGATGCAGCAGCTGGACCAGAAGTATTGTTTTGGGTGTTGCTAATTCATGCTAGGTTTGTATGTTTGGGTTCTGAAATGAGCGGACAGAGATTGAGTTTCAGTTGATTGACAGGGTTTTGTTTTCCCCTGCCCAGGTGGATAACCTGATGCAGCAGCTGGAATGGAAGTATTGTTTTGGGTGGCACTGTATATGCTAGGTTTGTATGTTTGCGATAGTTATGATAACCTGTTTTCCCCTGTCCAGGTGGATAACCTGATGCAGCAGCTGGACAGCATGAAGGTGGCGCTGGAGGCGGCGCGCACACCTGGTCAGCAGGTGCAGGTGGGGGAGGACATCCAGGTGAGGAGCTCAGTTCATGGATTGTCCATTCTGTAGGCCTGCATTGTGTCGTATATATTCTTATTTACAGTACAGTCAAATTTGTATAAGAAGACTACCCTTGGGGACCCGTGGAATGTGGTCTTCTTAGACAGTTATTCATTAAGTTAGATGATTATGTCAATCTGTACCTCTGTTCTCTTGATTTTTGTATCATTGTGTTTTATTTCTGATGTCGGCTAAGCATAAATGTCCATCCTTTCCAGGTGCTGAAGTCGCAGGTGCTGTCTCTGGTGGCCGAGCTGAGGGAGACGGAGCGCAAACTGCACGCAGCGACACAGCACGTGGGCAGCTACAAGGACAGGTGAGAAAAAAAAAGACAGGCACTCTTGAACCAATTTAGCTTAGATAAAGAGCTACTCTTCTACACTATATAAGGACAGGTGAGGTCTAGCCCAACAAACTGCTGCTCTGCAAACCCATTCACGTAAAAACTATATATGGTGACCTGCCCCTCGAACTGTCCTGCACTTTGCCACATAATGTAAAACCAACGCCACAGGGTGTCTGCTACAGCACCAGTTACTGTGGTGACAGCCATCTGGTTCAGGTCATTAACCTTACATGAATTTGTTGGAAATGGATGAAGAAGAGGAAGAAATGGAGCAAAAACAATATCTTTTGAGTATCTAACGTGAAATTATAAATCAAAATGAATCAACCGTTTCTGTCTGCCATTGCCCACTAGGTCGTTGACCCAACCTTTTCTGTCTGTCATTGCCCTGTAGGTCGTTGACCCTTGAGCAGAAGCTGACGATGCTGCAGGATGAGATGGATGACCAGCGTCGCCGTGACGATGCTTTGATTGACGGGCTGAGGATGGAGCTGGGGAACATGGAGGGTGCACTCAACATGGAGCGGCAGGCAGCACACATGGACAAGTAGGGTTTTTTCTTTTCAACTCTTCCCCTTTTCTATGACATGCTATCATTATAAACAACAGTTACAGAGTCAAATACACATGTACTAGAATAAGCTAGTAAAAGTAAAAGCTCTACATAGGCAACATGGAGGGTGCACTCAACATGGAGTGGCAGGCTGCACACATGGACAAGTAAAAACTTCTCCCTTTTTCTATAACATGCTATCATTGTAAACAACAGTTACAGAGTCAAATATACATGTACAAAAATTATAAGGCTAGTAAAAAAGTTCTATGTACTATAAACATGGAGCGGCAGGCCGCACACATGGACAAGTAGGGATTTTTAGATTTCCTCTTCTATGATGAGCCATTGTGAACAATAGTTACAGAGTCAAATACAAAAACAAAATGTAGTATTCCAGTTCAATTACTACTCTGTCACACATTGACAAGTATGTTTTTTATGTTTCCTTTCACAGGTATTTATGAACATTTACCACATTTGTGGTATATAGGATTTATATAACAGGTGACTATCACCTCTTTAAAGATATCAAACCTGAGAGCAGACTGTAAGGTTCGAACCGCTCACTCTGAGAAGGACCCGTGCTTTTTCTAAGTACATGATATACAAAATTGTCTGTTTCCAGGCACATGGCTCCAAAAGGGCACATGCACACGGTACTAGTATTTCCATCTCTGACATTGCCATATGCACAATGTACATGTATGAATCTGTTATGTCTTTCCAGGCGCACGATGGCAGAGCTGAGGAATCGGTACGAGATCCTGTTCCAGGATTATGACGAACTTCTGAAGATCAACACAGAACTGCAGGCCAAGACTACACAGGTCAGGTTCATTTCGTGGAACATTTCATGTAAAATGCCCCTAATCGCATTCAGATACATCCAGGTACAGAAGTATTGCTTAGGGTGGCTGAGTTTTTCTGTCCGAATAGCTTCTGTTGCTTGGTAGGTGCGAGGTGAAGATGACCCAGCACAGTTGGTATGGGAGGTGGTGTAATACCTGAAAAGTACATCATACAATCCCTCCACAGTTCCAATACATTCACAAATAACTCCAAAACCCTTCCCAGAGGTCTGTGAACTTGTCTTCTAGGTCATGAAAACCCAAACTACAGTCCCGTACGTCTAAAATCTCTATCTCTCCACCTGACAGCTGCAGACAGCCCCACCTGGCCAGGTGCGTGAGATGAGAGAACAGGTGGATAACCTGACGGCACAGGTGATATCAGCTGAAGACGCGCTCCGAGACCGGGAGGAGAAACTCAAACGTCTGACGCAGGAGATCGGCCAGATGCGGAAGGACATGGAGGAGGTGCCAGTACTCAAGGCACAGGTGAGTCTTACTTTCACTTGGACAGGTGTGTTAGGGCCTTACTTTTACTTTTACAGGTGAGTTAAGGACTCAGGTTCACTTTCACAGGTGAGTTACATGTATACCTGAGTGTATATCTCAACTGTGTACGGCTGAGTTAAGGCTTCACTTACCCTACATTTTGTACCAGGCCTCAAGGCATGGATGAGTTAGAGTAGCCTCCAATAGGCCTTCCTAAAGAGTTTTACATTGTAATTTTGGGCAAAAATATGGCCAGTAATTGAGCAGGGGAGTGAGCCACCATATGGATAATGAGGCAAGCTAATGAAGTCTAGGGGTAGAATGGGCACCTGACTTCTGTTGGGAAGGTAAAAGGCAGCAGATGGAGAGGGATGGGCTCCACCTTCCAATACTTTGCCCTTGACATGGTGAACTTACAACCCTATGGCCTGAAAAAGGCTATGGGACTGCCTTTACCAAATTTTTACCTTCTCTTTTGTATTTTCTAGGCTGATGTGTTCAGACAGGACTTTGAGGCAGAGAGAGAGGCGAGGCAGAAGGCTCACAAGGACATGCAACTCCCTCTAGCAGCACAACTAGGAACTGCAGCAGGGTTAGGGTTAGAATTACAGTAGATTGATAATTCTGCACTGTTCTGTGTCCACTAGGCTGATGTATTCAGGCAAGATTTTGAAGCTGAGAGAGAGGCGAGACAGAAGGCTCACGGGGACATGCAGACCCTGGAGCAGCAGAACCAGGAACTGCAGCTGGAGAATCAACAGCTCAGGGACGAAATGGAAGTTTACACCAGGTGGGAACAGCTTTTACATTAAACCATTCATACATCAGATTCTGTTAGCTTCGCTTTTACACGTGTCAGTCATCATAGCTGTTACAACTGTACGTCTGTCAGTCAAAACACCTTTGGTCACCTTAAACTAAAGGCTCTGGGAGAGATGGAGGTCTACACAAGTTCAACCACAAGTTCAACATGGCTGTAACAGCTATCAAACATCATAGCATTGGTCTATTATGAAAAAAAGAACAATAGCTTTGACATCTGTCAGACATCAAAGCATCTGTTTCTGGCCAAAGCTTTAACATACATGTATGTCAAGGGGGTCCTGCAAACAATAAATCTGAACTAGAAACTATGTTTGTCTCCACGTTTGTATATGTGGGTTATCTAATACCAGTCACCACTGCCTTGATAACCTGTGTATTGATCTGTTGTCATTGCCAAAAAAGAAAGAAAGAAAGAAAGAAAGGAGAGAATGGCCACTACATGAACTTGCTGGAATGCTCTGAATGCCTCATGTGTCACTCCTATAACTAATCATAGCAGGAAGTTGCAATAAAGTATTATCTTGTTTTTCCTGCAGGAATGCCCTAGGTGAGATGCAGCGTCGCCATGTGGGAGCCCCGCCCAGTCCCCCCGGCAACGCGATGCCACGCCCTAACAACCCACCCCCCATGGAGTACGCCGGGAACTATGGGTACCCGCGGGGCTACCCGTACCCCGGGCCGCACGAGGACTTCTACTACGACGCTCAGGTGGGGAACAACGACCCCCTTCAGCCAGTCAACATGGCACAGCCCAGGGTGCAGAACCTGCAAGTACATGCTCCACAGGTAGGTTTGTTTGTTTGTTTGTTTGTTCAGCCCATCTCATAGCACTGCTTTACAGGCGGGCCCTGGAAATTGTATTACACGTAACATGTACATAACATGTAACAACTATATACAAGACACAGTTAATATACAAAATTTCACGGACTAGCCCATCATTCATATAATATATTCATTGTCCCTATTCTAGATCTAGTCTTAAGGAAAAGGTATTGTATCTTTGCTGGCAGTTTGTTTTGTCATCTGCTCACCTTGTTTTCTTGCGACCAGTAAAGGTTATAATTCATTGGTTTATTGGTTTATTTTGCTAAAATACATCGTAGCCGCAAGGCTAAATTGCGTATTTCTTACAATAGTATCAATACATATATTTTTGCCACGGAGAGAAGGTTTTGCGCTCCAAGGTTGGAGCGCGAAACCTTCTCTACGTGGCAAAACTCCCTCGGCAGCAAATCGTCCCTCACGGCCGCATATTACTCGCGTCGCTCAGAGAAAAAATAACGCCGACGCCCAACAAGACTGTGAAGGAGGCTAACGTATAGCGAAGTTGAACCATGTCTTCATAAGAACACATATTCATTAAAACATCAATCATAGATTGTTCTGTCAGTCATGTAACTCATACCCTGTTATATTGTGTCTGACCCTGACCTCTTTTTTATGAGCTCAATGAACTGCGGCTTGCAGGCCAATTTGAGGCAAACAAATAAACAAACATCTCTCTGTCCATGTTCAGGTTGTCCAGAGACCAGCCTCCCCAGACACAGAAGAGAAAAGCTGTCCCAAGTGTAACAACGTGTTCCCAGACCTGGACACACTACAGATACATGTCATGGAGTGTCTGGATAACTGAGGGAGATGATGAGGTTTAAAATGCAACAAAGTAATTTCCAACACAAAAATTTGGACTTCCCAAATTTTCGACTGTTTACACTTGTTTTCTATATTATTCATCAAATACTTTTTTCAGTGTTTATTTAGGTAGTGTGAAAACCAATGAGCTAAAATCTCCCATTTAAGACTGATTATGATTGTGTATGTATGAGTATATATAATTTACAGACCACGTTATGTGATTGTACTCTACTTTAGTGTTGTGATTTGATTTTATGTGTGAAGTATGTAAATACATGCATTGATCATCGATCTGTGATGATTTGTAGTGATGGTGAATATGTTTAATATATGTAACATATATGTGGATGCAAGGTACTTTCAATGGCTGATCATGATGAAATAAACCAGTCATTTGTTCATTCATAAATGGTCCATTTAGGTGAACATCCTTATTCAATCCAATAGGATGATCTACCTGGTAGCTGAAAGTATTTACTAGTATATGTTTTAATGATTTTGTATTTTGTAGATAATACTTGGATTTACATGATTATTTTTAAATATATTGATGTATAGTTAGCAATTGAGAGATACACAAATGTAAACAGATTAAAGATGAAACCAAAGTCATGTTAGAACACATTGGAAAGAAATGAATGTGTTTATAATATGACAATCATGTTAACACTACCCAGATATGTGTGTGCAGGTTATTTTCGTGATTAAAGCAAGGACTTACATGATTGCTTTAAGAGATGCCTTACTATGGAAACATTTCAGAACTGATATGGTTTGTGTATAAAGGTTCTTTATTCAACAACCAGAGGGTTTTCACATCCGTTGGATGTGAAAACCCTCTGGATTTTGAATAAAGATCTTTCTTACACAGTTTTTGCCAACCTGATGAAACTATTGACACGGTGACATGTACAGTGTACATGTATATGAAACTGAAGGAGTGTAAAATATCATGACTGTATTACCTTGTGTACATACATAATGTGTGAAATGTGTGATTAGTCTCATATGGCAAGGAAGCTAAAAGTCAGTATTTATGTAAAGAAAGAATGATATCTAGAGGGTGTTAATCAAGAATTGTTTCAAATAAAGCGTTAAATGAGTCAAAACTGTTTGTTCTTTATTCACAGCCTTTACATTAATTTGTGCTATTTAGAGAATCAGGAAGACAACAAGATACTTTGTAAGATTCAGTTTATCATTTCTGTAAAATCAGAAATACATCACATACATAATTCATAGTGTTTCACTTTACAGCAAACATACATTCAGTTTGGCAACCACCAGAATTATGACTGGCCTATTTAGCCTCTACCAGCATCCTCAGGTTGATGGAGAAATAGGGAAAAATGGTCAAATTAGTAGAAAGTGGCAACCTCTGTAGGTTGCAAACTGTTCCCTCTAGCAGGCATACATTTTTGTACTATTCATACTATTCGGTCTGTTTGGCACATTTCTACTATTTTTCAAGTAACCTAAGACCCTGCTACCTGACTATAACAAAAGCTATAAAAACACAAAAAAACAGTTAAGCAACTGGATAGATTTTGAAAACTGTATCTCATTACCTGGACATAAAGCTATAAAAGTACATATGTACCTGAGAACTACACTTTGTTACAATTATTACCAATCATATATCATAGTCATATCTGAACCTGGCAGCCCGTATGGCGTCTTTCTTGTTCCTGGGCACCTTGTGGAACGGAGCGAGGTCGTTGAAGCAGGCGTCCCAGACTGAGTCCACGGCTCGGGACGCCTCCTCATCTGTACAGTTCCTCACAACTTTCACTGACTCCTTAGCTCGCTGCCACACACATGTCTGAAAATAAACACAAAAGATACAGCAGTCAACCTCAGACTATGGAGAGACTGATGGATTAAGCATGATGCCTGTTTGTTTGTGGGCAAAAGCTCTCTCACCTAGAGCTTTTGCCCAGTCACTCTGGTCTTCCTCAGTAGACTCACGCAATGAGGAAAACTCTAGGTGAGAGCTTTTTCCGTTGGATCTGAAGTTTTAACTCTAAACATGTAACTACCAAGTTGATGAACACAGATGAACTTTCATGATGATGCTTTTTTGTTAGACTCCCTGGCAGAGACAGTGGCATCAGCTAGACAATTTCAGCCACATGTGGGACAGTATCCAGAGAGCAGCCCAAGACAGAAGGAAGTTGCTGCCCTGAACGCTGGGACTGGCAATAAGTTAGAGAACATACAAATGTATATGCAATCTGATGAGTAAGTTCCTGTTGAATTCTACACTCCTATCAGGATTTCTACCAGTAGAATCGTCTAAAAATTCAACCCGATTCTCTACCCTGGCCTAGTATGTATTCACTTGCCTGATGGTGTTTTTTCACCCCTTTAAGCTGAAATCTCCTCAACTCCCCAGAAAAATGGCAGTCACCACTCAAGTTGGCCGCTCGTATCTGCAATTGGACAAAGTAGGTGTCATTCAATCAATCAACAGCAAGTGTCTTTGACATAATCTAAACTACATCACTTGATATGCTAAAACAATGATCATACACATGTACCTATGTGTAAGCCAGTAGACAGGCTAGCTCCTCGACTACCAATTTACCATAAACACCACTTTCCAAAAACCATCATCCTAGGAACAGTCCATGCACAGGGAGAAAGGAAGAAAGAGAGGTAAGCAATGGAAAAAATGAGAATAACATTAGGGAATGTCAGATTCTGGCCTCACCTCTGAACATGCGACATGTTGCAGGTTGTTGTACCAGTCTGGCCTCTACTGGCCCTGACAATAGTCTGGCACCCAGGCCAGTCTGGTGACAATAGTCTGGCACCCAGGCCAGTCTGGTGACAATAGTCTGGCACCCAGGCTAGTCAGGTCTCACCTCTGAACATGCGACATGTTGGAGGTTGTTGTACCAGTCTGGCCTCTACTGGCCCTG